GAGATCAATTGTATCTTGACATGCTTTCGACAAACCGTATAAATCGTTAGCCAAATGCTTTTTATGGAACTCTTGCATGTATTCCAAGGCCTCCCCAAGGAATGGTGGATGTAAATTCCGTCAAATTTTGATTAAAGGTTCCTGTGGGGTTAGCGAGGAAAGTTTGCTTTCAGCTTCCTCCCTGAAGTGCTCAAGGCGTTCCTTCATTTCCCCGGGCCGAAGAAGAAGTTTGATCCGTAAATGTAGTTTCAAAATCATGATTGACCGCCTGTTTTCCTTGAACCAACTCTGTCATAATGGTTGGGGATGGTCTTTCATCATCATTGCCAATTTTTTCTTTCGGTCGCCACTTAGAGACCGAAGTTTCCTGGGCTGCTCATCGGCGGGCCATGCAGTCTATTCTTTGGTGCTGATGCTTCTGTGATTTGGACAGTGCAGTGTGTACACTTTTAGAAGAGTGATAAGTATACTAACGCTGATCTTGAGGTTCAGGAGGTTTGAAAGTTTTCTGGCTCGGCAAAGAACCTGAGCTGCTAGAATTACATGCGTAATAATCTTCGTTATAAAAAGGTGCTTCGAAGTCGAGGTATCGTCTGACTGAAGGTTTCTCTTCAAACCATGCTTTAGAGCTGAGCCTATCAAAGACCCTTTGATTATGACCTGCGTCAAGCACCTTTTGATGTGTTGCGGCCATAGGTTGATGTATCAGAGCCTGAGATAGCTTTTCCTTTGGCTCGGCGTTGACATTTGCTTTACACTGTCTACATAAAACCACCGACCCGTCATCTTCATCGGTGCTGGACAATAGCTGATCCCGAAAGAGCTATGGGTGGCTTGTTTAAACAAAAATCAATATTGAACTGTGGTCGAGAATTCTGCTTCAGAATGCGTTACATTGTAACGAACTCGACTTTCCCTTCTCCTTTGTCCCTAGGTAGGCGGGCATCTACCATATTTATTGTTGCCGTGGGAAATGGGTTGGTATCAACACCCATTTTCTTTTCCAGAAATCTGAGTTTGTCGTTATCAATCCAGCTTTGGATGGCGTATCGAAACACGACACAGTTATTTGTCGTGTGCTTGTTTGAGTTATGGTACTTGCAATATATCTTCCCTTTCAATTCTTCGGCCTTAGGGATGTTATGTCCTAGTTGAAGTTTGATAATCCTCGCAAGCAACAACTGGTCAAAAATTGCATCAGCCTTGGTGATATCAAAAGTATAAACTTTTCATGTTTTAACTGCGGTTTCTTCAGAGGTTGAACGACTTTTGGGATCTGTGGAGTTAGGATGAACTAATGCCTTACATATGTACGGTTTATCTATGATAATTTCGGCCGCATCTATACTGGCATATTGGGAATCTTCTCCTTCGGTTGATGCATAATTGACTGAAGGGTTCTTGTAGATTGTTCCTCGGGTTGGAGATTTTGATATCTTTTCTTCTCGGAGTAGATAATCATACTGCTCGACGTGTTGAGCCAATTCATACATATGCCGAAAATTTGCCCCCAAGAATTTCTTTTTATATTCTACATCTAACCCGTTCAAGGCAAGCCTGACAAACTTGACCTCGAGGAGAGGAACTCGGCACCAATTTCAGGCTGACTTGAACCGTGTGAAGTAATCTATGGGCCACTCATCAATCGTTTAAGGCATTCTGGCTAATGAGGAAACTGACATTTCCATTCCTGGTCGATAGAACTGTTCATGGAATTTTTTGACCAGTTCCTCCCAACTTTGGATGGAATTAGAAGGGAGGTTAATATACCACGCGAATGCCGAGCCTGTCAACGAGAAGTTAAATAGCCGAAACTTATGAAAATCACTATTGACATCTCCGCATTGCGCTGTAAATCGAGCGACGTGCTCTAATGATGACAAGGATGATTCTCCCGTAAAAAGGCTGAAATCTAGAATTTTGAAACCTTTGGGATATTCAAATTTCTCCTCATAGATCGGGTATGGATGAATGAATTTTGGGAATTTCGACCCTTTTTTCAAGGCCGAATCGATCATCCTTTGGACCTCTATTATATCAACAGGTGTTTCGATCATTTGGTCGGATCCGGCTGATCGACTGCTTGATCCTCCTCTTTTTTTCTAAGTCAATTGGCTTGAGCCGAGCAAGGATTGGCTCGGCCTGTAATATTGGTAACAGATTATTTCTTGGTGGTTGGGAAAAATCGACGGACCTGTCGTCGTAAACCTTGCTAACCAGCATTTCAAGCAATCTAGTTTCTGTCTCACTGGTACTGCGTATCACGTCATGCAGTTTATCGATTCCTCGACTAAATGTCTGTTCAAGCGTCCGAGACTGTTCGTCAAGTCGTCTTTGAAGAAACGATCTCATTGGTGGATCAGAGCCTTCACCACCATCGTCATCACAGTCCTCCACTGTCCCTTCATTAAGAACGCATGTGTTTTGTTAGGGATTTCTAGACTGCGAAGCTGACTGGCGAGACCAACTTCCCTTTCTCGGCGAGTCGTGCTTGTGGACTCATGTGTCACGACACTAAGGGGATTATGTGCCTGTAGTACATTTTGTCCTATGTTCTGAATTGGCAAATCGGTTGTTGACTTTCCTATAGCTATTTTCTTTTTAACCGATCATGTCTCAATTGGCATGAACTTCGTAGTTTTAGCACCGTGTCCCACTGGGCGTGCCAAAATGTTGACCCTAAAAACTACCAAGGTTATGTGGCGCGTAGGCCGAGTAATCTCTGAGTTAACTACGTCCTTCAGTTGTGTGCGGGGCGTGCCAACTCATCGGTCGAGCTCGACCGAGGAGTAAAATATGTTGGTGCTACGTTGGGTGCGCGGCTGATTTTTGCGTCTTGCAATTGCGGCTGAGGAAGGAACTTGTCTCGGCCTTCGGGTTCTAGAGCCTGAAGACAAGGCCGTTAACTTAGCAAAGTTCAATATCAAATTTGGCTTCTAATGTTCCGAATGTAGTAACTCGTAATACCTTACTTCACCGAGAAGGCTAATGAGATGACCTCGACCAACAAGGATTCAGAAATCCTTCTCGACCGAGACTTGGATAGGTAACCAATCGGCCTTGACGTAGTGCTATTTATGCCAACTGAAGATGCTGCGAGATCGGCTGATTCTACGGCGACAGTGCTGTTTATGCCAACTGAAGATATCACCGATTGCCTCCACAGTGCTGTTTATCCAAACTGAAGGTGTGTCGGCGAAAAGAGAAAAGAAAAAATCTCAAGGTTGTTGAGAGAATTTGCGTAGGGTAGTTGTGTGTTGAATTGGAGGGGGCTTGAATGATGCACAGCCTCCTCTATTTATAGCAGCAGGTATTCTCTAGATCGAGTTAAAACCTTACTCGGAGTAGGACTTCTTATTCAGGTCAAACACTATCTCGACTAGTCCTATTTTCGCTACAACTTTGAACCCAGTCCTTTATCAAGCCGCATTCACTTCCGGGTTATCAATGTCTTTATCTTGCTGAAACTCCTTATTGTGCCAGGATTCAATTACGCGTCTCGCAGCAAGACTTGGCCGACCTAGGCTAGGAAACCCATGAACTAGATGATCCACGATAACCTCTTCGTAAGACCTTCCGGGCCGAAAATAAAACTCGGCCCAAACCAACATTTTGGGCCCAAACAATTATTTCAAGTTATAAATTCAAAATTTTTCAAACTTTGTTTTCAAATAATTAATTAAGATTTGATTTAAATACAAATGAGTCATTCATCATGTTGAGAATGATTTTGCTTGAGCTGTTATACTACGATAACTTTGTACTCTTGTAAGCATTTTTATCTTTACTTTTATAGGTAGTAAAAATTCTATCACTACTCCCATATAGTGGAGAAATTTTTCAGAGGACCGAAAGTACGCACATAAGCATAACAGGTGGTGTTCCCAACTAATTACTTACTGACACTGTAAAATAACAATTAAAACAGAGAGAACTCTTTTAAAAATTAATTGTTTGGATAAAAATAATAAAAAAAAACAGTCATTAATTGATTCCAATTCCCCAGATCGACCAACCATCTTTTCTCTTTCCCCATCTGCGCCGACTACCATTTCCACCATTCCACTGGGAATGAATGGGAAGATTGGAGTAGCCTCTTCATTAGTCGGAAGGAATTTGTCTCCACCGAAGAACGAACAAAAAAAAGGGTTACTGTTTAGGTAGGATGTAGTCCAATGGCTAAAGCTCTGCCAGTTTCTTGTAGACTGAACTCTCTTATCTTTAGGCTCAGAGTTGCTTTGGGGTAGGATGGTAGAATTTTTCTTTGCCACTAGTGGCAACGAAGTTCTTGGTAATTAACCAGGGGGAAGGAGGATCTCCATTCATTTCATTCAGTGCCTGCGGTGAGGCGCGACCCACAACAAACAAAGGGGGAAAGCTTGTTGTAGCCCTATTTTAGTAGACTAGGCTTGGTAAGCGTAAGCTATTTAAGTAGGCTCGAGAAGGGCGCAGCTTCGCTCAGCAGAAGAGCCTTACTATTATATTAGTAAAGCGTTAGCGCCCAACCTATGGGCTTTGAGGGGATATGGGAAGGGAAGAAACCATCCATCTGATATTTACAATTTTAATCATGCTTAATCATTTTGTAGATCAATTAAATATTACCAAAATCAAAATAAAATAAGAAACACAATGATTGATCTACAAGCCCTTAAACATGATTAACTGATCAGGATTCAGCTGACCTCACAAGCCTTTAATTCGGAGGCCGGCGATAGTAGATCTGAGGGTGCGGCCTACTACTCTCGGGTTACATGTTAACATAAGAATGGGAGAGAAAAGAGGGAAGAGGAGAAGGAAAAGGAGGAAGAGACAATGGATGGGACGTCCTCGGTAGAGTCACAGGGTGGCGATAAAGGTGGGTAGTCACTGGTGTTGTGGATGTTTTGCGTGGAAGGGATAAATTTGGAATTAGATAGCGGTAAATTCGGAATCCAGTTGACCAAAAATTCTGGTTATTTAACAAAACTTCACTTAAACAACAATGTGGGAATATTTTTTTTTACATTAAAAACTGAAATAGCTAGGTGTTATGGTTCTATTCGCTAGGAACTCCACGTCACTTCATGTTCTAGGCACTCAGAAAAATTTCTCCGTGTAGTGCTTCGCTGCAGCTTGTTGCTGCACCGTTCTAGGTACCAAGTGTGGTAGCTATGCGCAAACCAACAGGATCCTCTTCAGATCCTTTTGGTTAGGATTTTGAGGATTCGTGAATCGTGTTCGTTCATCGTACATCATGCGGTCAGTTTTTTCGAGTACTGTTTGTGTTTAATTTTAAATAAAAATATTTAAAATAGTCTCTGACCGCACGATGTGTCATCAATAGGAAATGAGCACGTTTATCAACGTTTAAGTAATAATATAATCATCAACTTCTATTTCATTTAGTTTACAAAAATTAGTTTATAAATTTAGTTTCTTTATCATTACTAAAAAAAAAGGAGTTCATGCTGCTTCCTACAAGATTGCAGGCGTACGTGTAATCCTGTTAACCAAAACAAAAAAGAAAAAAGGATTTGCTGCGGTTGCAGCTCGTGAATTGATACATTATACCCACATAATTGCTGAACTAATTGCAATATATTGTTTTGGTGGTGCTGTACTGATTGCAGCATGTGTTTTGCGGACAAGGATTGTCTGCCCTCCTTATTTCCGTGCCCTCCCATACCTTCCTGTTTGTGTGGTCACGGTTAAGTCACGTCAACATTTTATATTACTATTCATTTTGTCTTATTATCTCTATAAAAAAACAATATAAAATGTTGATGTGGCTTAACCGTGACCATACAAAACAGGAGGGTACGGGAACAAGGAAGGCAGACAATCCTTGTTCGTGCTTTGCTGCTTGTATACCGTGAGGTGCTGTCTGTACTGGTTTTCTGCTTTCTATGCCGTGTGTGGCAATTGGTACTTTTGGGACTTGCCGTGCTGTTGTGTCAAACAACAATTTTTTTGTCGTGTGCAATTGTTGTGCTTAAGCAATTATAGTACTGTGTAGGGGTATTTGTTGAAATATCTCACATTGATTGTATATCTGAAAAAATAAGAATTTAAATATCTTGATCCTACTTCAATTACTATTGAGACCTTTTTTTGTGATAAAACTCCAAGCCTGACACATTGTGCATGTGATAATTACCAAGTTAGGCACAATATCGATGTTGTTGGAAGTGGACATTTGACCTGTCTCTCTAATATTTCTACATGGTATCAGAGCCTGGGAGTGGGCCTGAATGGCCACGTGATGGGTGGGTCCCTTGGTCTTGCATGTAGGGTGAGTCTCATTGGCTCCACGTGGTTGTCGATGTGTGGATCTCTCACGTTTAACCCACTAATTGGGTCCCACGTTGCGGGCTTGTTGAAATATCTCACATGACAAATACAAGTTGGATTTTGGATTCGGGGTCATAGATCATCTGACATATGACAAAACCTTATTTCAATCTATGACACATCCTCACAGAAAGTTTGTGACAATTGTTAATGGTACTGTTGATTCTGTTGTTGGAGCAAGAATAGTGTGTCTTACACCTTCTCTTCCTTTGCATAATTGTTTATTGGTTCCATCATTGTCCCATCACTTATTGTTTGTACCACAAGTCATTGAACAGTTGGATTGTGTTGTATTAATTTATCATTTATTTTGCTTACTACAGGATATTAAGATAAATGGGATCATTGGGCGTGACACTAAGAGATAGGGGCTATATTATGTGGATGACATGGTTGCTAGAAGAGCTAATTTCGTTCCTGCGTCGCGTAATAGTAATCTACAGAAGTTATTGTTGTTGCATCGTCATTTGGGCATGCGTCGTTTGGTTATTTGAAATATATGATACCTGATTTGTTCAGTGGTATTGAAGACTTAGAATTAAAGTACGAGGTATCTATTTTAGCTAAAAGTCATCGTGCTTCATTCCCTTCAAGTATGAATCAAAGGCCTTTTCCGTTTGCGTTCATTCACTCTGATGTATATGTGCCTTCCCCTGTTAGTACTACTTCATGAATTAAGTAGTTTGTTACTTTCGTGGATGATTTCACCCATATGACGTAGGTATATCCGTTGAAAAATAAAAGTGAGGGTGGTGATGTGTTTTGTCTGTTTCATCAGATGGTTAAAACTCAGTATTCCTCTAATATTAAAGTTTTGTGTTCTAACAATGGGATTGATCATAAATTCTGAGTTATCTAAGTTTCTACAAGATCATGGGATTGTTCATGAAACTACTTGTCCGTATACCCACAACAAAATGGGCTGGCAGAAAAGAAGAATCGTCATATCCTAGAGATAGCTTATGCTTTGTTTATTGGTGCATCTGCTCGCAAACGCTTCTATTCTGAATCAATTGTATATGCAGTTTATGTTGTGAATCGTATGCCGTATTGGATCTTCAATTATGGAACACCAATTTAGGAGCTTACTCAACATGTTCTAGTGGTTTTTACTAATACTTTGTCACCTATGATTTTTTGTTATGTGGTCTATGTTCACACTCAGAAAGCTCATCTCAATAAGCTTGATTTTTGTGCACTCCGCTGTGTCTTTCTTGGATTTTTTCCCGGATCATAAGGGATTGAAGTGTTATCATCCTGGTAGTTAACGCACTTTTGTAACTATGGATGAGACTTTCTTGGAGTCTAAATATTTTTATTCTTCATCTGTATCCAATTCAGATTACTAGGGGAGATTATTGATATTGGTGAACTAATTTGGTTGGAATATACTTATGGGGGAGAAAGATAAGTTGTGGAAATCCGCCCAGTTCGATTGGAGCCTACTGAATCAAGCAGCCCAGTTCAAGAAGTTTGGGAGGCTCCTACCAAACCCGGCAGCCTAGTTCAACGGGCTGTAATCAAAGAAAACAGTCCAGTTCCGCAAGCTCCCACCAAATAGTACATCCCATTCCAGCAGGAATCTGCCGAATTTCCCAGTATGTCCGTAGAACCATCTCTCTCTGATCTTGCAGTGCTTGTTCCATCTCTTATGAATATCCAAGAGTTAAGTATTTTAAATGATAATACAACTAATCTTGATATTAGTGTGAGTACTTATAAATTGCCAGAAAGACAAAATCATGGTGTGCCACCTGATATTTTCTCTCCAGAAGGGAAGATCAAGTATCTGATTACTAATTATGTATCATATGATCGTTGTTCACCAAAACACAGGGCTTTGGTAAACCATATGGAATCAATTAAAATTCCAACTCCGGTACAAGAAGCCTTACAAGACCCTAAGTGGATATAAGCGATGGATGAAGAGATGTCAACTTTACAGAAATATAAAACCTGGAAGATAGTGCAATTACCAAAAGGGAAGAAACATGTTGGTTGTCGTCGAGTGCTTACAATCAAGTACAAGGCTGATAGATCAATGGATAATTACAAAGTAAGGTTATTGGCTAAGGGGTACACTTAAACGTATGGTGTAGATTATCAAGAAACCTTTTCTCTGGTAGCAAAGAAGAATATGATACGTGCTTTGATTTCCTTAGCTGCAAATATGGATTGGCCTAGTAAACGGTTTGATGTGAAGAATGCATTCCTTCATAGGAAGTTGGAAGAGGAAGTGTATATGGTCTTTCCACTAGGCTATGGTGCAAGTGGTAATACAGCAATGCAGATTGCGTAAGTCTCTTTATGGACTTAAGCAACTGCCCCGTGCTTGGTTTGACAGGTTTACTCAAGCAACGAAGAAATATGGGTATCACCATAGTCATTTAGATCACACTTTGTTTTTGAAGCGTTGGCTTGGCAAATTAACTGCTTTAATTATTTATATGGATGATATGATTCTTATCGCAGCGAAAGTATGTGTTGGATTTATTGAATGAAACTAGTATATTAAGGTATAAACCTGTGGATACTCCTATGGTAGAAAAACATCATTTAGGTATTTATCTAGACCTGGTTCCTATTGATAAGGGTGGAAACCAAAGACTTGTGGAGAGATTAATTTATTTATCTCATACTCGCTCTTATTTTGTATATGTTATGAGTGTTGTAAGTCAGTTTATGTACTCACCTAGTGAAGATCACATGGCTGCTGTAATGTGAATTTTGGAATATTTGAAGCCTGTGCATGGTAAGAGAATACTTTATAGAACACATGGACATCTAAAGGTTGATGGGTTTACATATTCAAATTAGGCTGACAATGTTACTAACAGATGGTCTACATCTGGGTATTTTACGTTTGTTGGAGGTAATTTGGTTACATGGCGTAGTAAGAAGTAGAAAGTGGTGTTAAGGTCATCTGTTGGAGCTGAGTATAGGGGTATGGCACACAGAATATGTGAACTTTTTTGGTTACGTAAATTTTTTAAATGTCTTGGCTTTGAACCAAATGAGGCGATGAAATTATATTATGACAATAATCTGCAAGGGAGATAATAGATAATCCGCTACAACATTATCGAACAAAACATGTGGAGGTTGATAGACACTTTGTCAAGGAAAATCTTGAAATGAAGATTGTGTCTACACCGTTTGTGAATTTAGAGGAGCAGCTGGCTGATGTTCTTACTCATGGAGTATCTAGCAAAGTTTTTTCAGGACTCAATTATCAAGTTGGGCATGTATGATATCTATGCACCAACTTGAGGAGGAGTGTTGATTTGAGTTTTAATTGTAAATATTTTAGGATTCCTATTTTTGGTAAGATTAGGTTTTATAATTGGTTGTAATCTCTTGTATTTAGTTTCCGTATCTTTATAATTATATTCCTTGTAGAATTCCTTGTAGAATAAGGCATGTGTGCTTATATATAAACCCTAAAAAATGAATGAAATAACAAAGTATTCTACGTATTTCTCCTACACGTCCAAAGTATACTGCAAGCGTGGTCTCTTAAAAAAAAGGGAGAATCCAAATAGCTTTAGAGACTTTGGAGGGGCTTATTTGAAATCAAAATCTTTGATCCCTTTTTGTTGCCGTGGCAAGTATGCAAGGAAACAAAATTCCTTGCGCCAAATAAAAGCATACCAATTACTACCTAATTGGTATAGGATTCATTATGATCAAAGAATGCCTTTGCCGCAGCTCCAAAGAAGTAGCTTTGTTTTTTTTTTTTAAATGCAATAATTAGCTAAAAGATGTTTATTTTTTCTGCCATGGGAAGTCATATTTGGACTTGGAAGAGTTCATGTCCACATAGAAGAAAAAAAATGCTTGCTGACAACTTTCCAAATTAATTAGGAAAGGCACTCACGTGGCAACATTTAAAAAAAAAAAAAAATAAGCCAAAGCTCTCCAATTTGAAATCATGTGATTTCTGTGGATGCAAATTTCTTTGTCCTTGATCTTGGACAAAATTGCACCTACAAAACAACTAACACATTTGGTTCAGGCCAAAAGCCTCATGCTCCCACGATGAATTGGGGGGTCTTTGGCCGAAGAACCTCCGATGCCAAAGTTAGAATTTAGAGAGAAAAGTGTTTAAAGAGTTTTTGGGAGTTTTACACGAGTGTTGGAACTTAGGTTTGTAGAGAAAATGAGGTTGAATATATATAGCATGGCCGGCCCCCTTGGGAGAGAGGGTGACCGGCCTCTTGTGTATTTTTTTTGGTGCAATCGGTGATTTAATTGGCAATTAATGGATTAATTAGGTAATAAATCCATTAATAAGCCAATTAACATAATTTAAAAGGAATGTTTTGGAAGTTATGGAATAATTACCTTGTGGAGAATATAGGATGAGGATGGATGAAATAATTTTGAACTTGTTATCTTTTTTGGTCATTTTCAACTTGGTTGAGAGAGGATTGCCCCCTGCTCGCTTGTAGGAATCCCAATATGCCTCAAGGGTATTTTTGTCATTTTCATCCAAAATCCACTTGTCGCATCTCGATTATTTTTTGCTCCACAAATGCCCCCACACCTGTTGGGCTACTCCCAAAAAATGACAGCAGGTGTAGAGATCTTCTTGCTTTAAGAAACATAGGATTGCTTCCTATTTTGATGTAAATTCCCTCTTTAATTGGAAATTAGATCCTTCTAGGAAAGGGAAATAAATTTCTCTCATAACCTATTTAAGTCTACCTTAAGTGGATTATTAAATCGACTTTGGAGAGCGATTTATTCTACCCTACAAGAGAGAGAAAGCTAAAGGATATTTGTTCCCCTTCCCCTAGCAATCTTCTGCACTTGCCCGTGCAAATGACCGTTTTTCGGTGCTTTCTTTGTCTTCTCTGCATTGCATCGAGGTAAGAAAAAAATTAATTTTCCTTATCTTCTTCTTGGATAATGCTATTGTGGGGCAGCCGTCGGGGTGGTGCGGCACGTCGGCTCGCAGGGGCCAGGAGTCGGCTCAGCATGGGTTGAGGAAGTGTTGTGGCAGGGACCACTGCTTAGGTTGCTTGGTTTGGCTAAAGCCAAGGGCAGCTGTGTGGCTAGAATAGCGGATTAAGGGGCTGGGGCGCGGTGCTAGGCGAGCCGTATGACTTATGTCCTTTGTGCTCTTGGACCTGACGTGAGCCAGGTCGGTAATTGAGAGAAACAAGGAGGTTGTGGGCCTCATGGGCTGCTGAAATGCTGGGCATGCAGGCCTCCTGCCTGTTGGACCGAGAGAAAAATAAGGGAAAAACCGGTATGGGTTGAGCTCCATTGTTGAGTACTGTGAATGGCATTGGTTGCTTAATCCTGTTCGTTGGGAGAAAGGTGGGCTGCTTCTGAGAGAGGAGGTAAAGAGGATCAAGGTGGATGCACTAGCTCGTCTGAACGCTGTCGTGGAGCCTACTATGAATGAAGGTGGAAAGAAAAGATTTTCCCCGCCTGCCCAAGAGATGTCGGTTGAGAAAACTGAAGACTTCCTCCGCTACTTGTGAGGGTCCGCCTGCTGCCGAGAGTCTTGTGATTGACATGACTTCTTCCAATGAAAGAGAAATGAGGCTACTAGATCTGAGCATGTAGCGCCTGCCATGTCGAGAATGGCTTGTACGATTGCTGATAGGATTGCTTA